TCGATCCTCATGGAAAATGGAGCACGCGAATATCTTTTGGTAATAGGAGAAGCGATAAACAGCGAATCGCTGTACATTTATTCCATTATACTCGAGTCTCGCGCTGGTCCTCCGTTTAGCTGTATATCTCGAAGAGGATAGCATCGGATCGAGCAAAAAGGTCCGTGGGAATTTGTAGATCAAACCGAGGGTGACTTTCTCGATGTAGATGTAACTTTACGACTCCGTCCAAACTTTCTGCGTTTCCGCGAGAAAAACTGCTGGGAGATGGTTTTTGCAGCCAAGTTGTCACCGCTCACGGGGGTTTTGCACATGTTTCGTTATCGAACGCATAACTGATCTCTCGGGCTGTTTCAAAGGGTCAGGGGGAGCAGGAGCACGCAACGGAAGAAGTCAAAGTCAGTGCGATGGCTTCGGCGCGAGAGAAAAGCAGGAGGGCAGGTAGACGATAGTAGGCAGCACAGGACGTGAGCAGCGGGTGCTCCGGATCCGACTGGACCGGTTTTGCCCGGATTCCCTAGGAGTTCTAGCCTTCGGGACTCGCAACAGTGCCCGCCAGGATTCTCCTCACCGGCTGCTGGTCACAGGTAGGCATTGCAACGCGGAGGACTGGACCAACTCTTTGGCCAGTTCGACTGTTCGTTCGCGGCCTTTTTCTCCCTCTCGCTGCCCTCGTATCTTCCTTCCGTCTTCTTTCTCTTCGTTTCCCTCGACGGCTGTTACCCCAGCGGGGAGGAAGTTTCGCGCCGTATTGGCGGACCCGTTCCCTGGTGCTACCCACTACGTTTCAACGTATCATTTATCATCGGACGAGAAGTGCCTCGTTGCAACGAGCATGCTGCTTCGTCTCTCTCTCTCTCTCTCTCTATTTTGCTCGTCCGGGCCACTCGGCTGGCTGGGCTCTCTGATGACTTGATACTACGCGCGGACCAGCTTCGCGCGACACCGATACGACCGCGCACTATCTGATCCGTTCCTGGAGAAACCGAGAGAACCACCTCTTCCTTTTCTTGCCGCGGCGCGACCGAGCCACGGGATACAAGAGGCTACGAGGATTCTGCGCGATGCGAGATATTGCCGCTTGGTTGCCTACCACCGCTGCTGCCGGGCCTTTAATTATAGGAATACCTACGCAATTTGTCTTGTTATCGATGCGAGATTTCAGTCTCGCGGAGTCGCTTCTCGTACAGCGCAGGTCCTCCCTGCCCGACGCTCCTGAGGCTTGTAGTCCTACGTCGATTCGGTTGTGCGTACAGCTTAGGTGTACATTCTTTTCACAAAATTCACAAACTGTCGCTGCACTGACACATCATCGCGCGTAAACACTGCACTGACACATTACAAGTAAACTAAATTAGTGTAAAGTGTACGGAAGTGTAAAACCGATAAGGGTCTCGAACGACCTAAGAAATGAAACTCCGCCAGACGTCATCCTAGGGTTGAGAAACGTATTTTGTCTTCAAAGTATCTCCACGTGTTCATCGTCATTCTGTAATAGAACATTGCCAATAAGATTGCAACAATAGCTAAAGAAATGCGTCGAGAAGCTATGTAGACCACCTGAACATCCGAAGAACGTGGCGACAATGGTGTCGAACAAGCGAAGACTCCTTAAAGACAAAATGCCTTTGTCGATACCATGTATTGTTTTATGACTTCTGTTCGTCTGCCAGAGTTTCTTCTGTATAACCGTTAGATTTTTTTAAGCATCCCCGCGTAGACGTGGAGGTTTTTCCAGTGAGAAAGCAATCTGCTCCGAGTCAACCTTGCATAAATTTCCGGGGCGCGTAAGGTTCTTATCGATTTTCTTTCTTCGCCCTCCAACGTCTTTTCTTTGCCTTCTTCTATGTCTGCGGAATCTATATCACCAGTATTCGGTAGAAGTCAGGAAAGAACTGGAATCGCGAAGGGCTTTCGATCTTTATGTTTTTCAAATCTCGCGACGGAAAGGCTAGCACCCAGGTCTCCAGGCCTTCCGTTATACGTTGCGCAGGTTCGTTCCCTGCAGATCGCGAGACAGACGTCATTCATACGTTCTAGTTTCGAGTGCGCTATTATATTTCCCTCTGCGGAAGAGGATCTCGCGCGTCGCTGAACGGCTGGACAATTCCCGCGGTTGACCCTCGGCTTGGTCCTGTCCTCAGCCTCTTTCAGGCCGCATCGGAATCCAGTTTTCGAATCGGGTTCATCCTCCTGAAACGGTCCAGGATGACCGTTGCCAGCGCGAGGAAGCCGCTCGACACCAGGCATCCCAACCGTCAAGCTCGGTTTTGTCTCCTCCGGCAGCTTGTGCTCGGAAAGGTGTCCACGCGAAAGGAAGGGTTGTCCTGTGAGCTGCGCGAGGGAAGGGTGAGATCTCCTCGAGGTCTCATTGTCCCGGCGTCCACAGTGATGAATTCGGTCATTAATTAGCCCTACTAACCGACGACTCCTCGTTCATTTTTTATGTCTCCCCGAACGGGCGCCTGAGATGCTCGTTCACCCAGCTCCTCGAGAGGAGGAGTGACAGATAGAGATGCACTGCCTATTGAAATTAAACAAACGCTTGGATTTTTGAGATTTCAGTCAGGACTAGTTTTATGAAAACCGATTTAAACATTTAATTTCAACAGATGTATAATTCATTAACTCTCAGCAGCCTGATTTACCAAATTAAATTTGAAAAATATCAATGTATTTATTATTTGAACAATTTTTGACTCCAGAAACTAAGACCGGAGGAAAAATGAATTTATTGAATCCGCCTTGCCAGGGATCGAGTGATCTATCCTCGTTTAGGAATGAGTTCAGTTAGTCGTAAACAATCGTTTCGAGTGATTTCCATGTTGAGCGCAAGATTGATATAGGTCTGAAGGCTTCCGGAGATAAAGTGTCTTTTCCTAAAGCGATGGGAAGATACCCATTGTTAGCGAGTAAATGGATATATCTGTTAGGTGAAAAGAAAGAACGTCTTTCCTGGAGGGAAGGAGACGGGGTTCGAATTTTTTATCTCGCCAGCGATTCGGCGGGTTCCGTTATTTACGGTGGCGGTTCCTCCTAGCCAGCGATTTAAATTAATATTCCCCCGTGTCTCTTCGCCGTGGAGACTAATAGCTTCGGAGTCGCGTCGTCGAAGAAAAGAGAGTCCAAGTTCAAACGCTACGAAGTATCTTATTCTCCGTTCTTAAACGGCCGATTCCAGAGGTAGCTACCAAAACAATAATTTTCCTTCAGATTTTGTTTCTTTAAATACATCTAACAATAAGTCTCGATAAAAGCACGAGATCCACCAGGAATGACGCCACGAATTAATCGATGGGAACGTTTTCCAGGTCCGAATAAACGATCGAAGCGTTCAAAGATCCCTCGATCGATCGGAAATGCTAATTGGCATGACACCGGTCGTTGAACGGGAAGATCAATTTCTTCGGCTCGTGACTGTGCTCTGATCGCCGCGATGAAGTTTCGAGCGGCGATCTCGCGCGGTGCTCGATGCAGATTAATGCGTTCCGGCGTTCATTATCGAGTCGTACCGCTTAGCGTCGGTAATGTCAATAATTTCGATTCGCGGGTATTATCTGGCGACGCGAAACGTAACGTATAATCGATCGGATTACGTTAATTGCATCATCGGAGCCGGATCGGCGGGCAGCCGGCGCACGGTTCAAGTAGTTCTTCGGCGGAACGGATCCACGGCAATGGGATTCCAGCGACGTGGAATATTTTTCCATAAATCTGCGCGTTACCTGTTACCGTTTCCAGACGCCGCTGTCGGCGGCTTCTGCTCGATCGGAATCATTAGTCCAAGCCGAGAGCCGTCATTAGCGTGCCGCAATTAAACGGTTATCGAGACGTGTATCTCGAAAAGGAGAAAAAATAAAAAGCCGCGATCCTTTCCCCGGTTGCGAATAAATTAGACGAAAAAAGCACGTCGAAATGTGCAACTTTGCTCCTAATCGCGTGAACCGACACGAGCCTCATTTGCGTACGTCCACGTGACGTAGGTTCGACGGAGCCGATCCACGCTCCACACGGATGCTCTTCGATGAACCCGAGGTCAATTTCTGACGCGTTGCGGCACGTCCAGTCATTAGACGAAGGCTTAGCGGGCCCCTTAACGCTCCGTCGAGTAGGCTTTGCTTTATCTTTCGAGGGGGAAAGTAAGCGATCGGCTGGGGAACTTGCTACTCGTGGTGTTTTCAAGGTGTAGAAGACACCTATGACAATCTCAGACGGTAGCCGAGGAGCATCTTAGACCGAACGATAAGTGGCGAAACCTGTAAACCCACCGAATCCTTCTCGTTTGGTCTCGACGTCACTCTGCCGATGATTTCGACCAATCTCAGCCACGCGTAATGATATCGATCAGAGCTCGGCTTCCCTAAAATTGCCTGCAGGCCCGATTTCTCACCTGAGACGTAATTAGAGCTCTCTGGGATGTGAGTTGGTTGCAATGGGCAAACCGACAGGTTTGGAAGCCGAGGATGAGCGATCAGCAGAATTGGCATTGTTTAATTGAGAAATTATTTAAAGAAGAATAATATAATTTCGGATTGGTTATTCAACCTCTCTGTCCTTGGACTTCGATATTAATGCAGATTTTCGGTTTTCGTGAATCAAGAGGTAATTTCCGATTCGCAACTAACGTAACGTGAAATTAAAATTACATATTCATTCGTTGTTTATTATTTATTATTCATATAAGAAGCTACCCAACTTTGTCGATCATAATAGCGATACTTGATCAATCATGATGAATGACTGATGAATAATCGGTAACCACGATTAATAATTAATGAAAAGTCATGTAGGATTAGCTCTGAGAGACTAGAAACTACTGATTTATGAGTGCAAATTAAGAATATAATTTACAATTAGTAATTAACCTGACACTTATGATATATTATTAATACCAAGTAATCGAGAAGCGATTGTTGCTCAACACCGGTCGCGCGTTCATTCTCGCGATCCATTGATCCCGGTTATCGCAAAATCTAAGCCTCTGCTTCGTGAAATTACAGTTTCTCTGACCTTGGATCGCCGATCGACCCACGGATCCTTCTGGACCCAACAGCAGCATGCTTCACGAGTGGTCCACCTAAACGTCGTCTTCGGCGTTCGATTCTCGAGGCGTTCTCGAATGATCCAGGGAATTGCGCGCGATCCAAACACTTGGACAGCCATAATCGTCGCTGGATTCGAGGTAAGACTTCGCTCGCTGAGACGATTCCTGGAAATCATGAAATCAGAGAAATTACAAGAACTGGGGAGAAACGATTTTGCTGCGTTGCAGTGCAACGAGTTAAGGGGTAGTCGCTTACAAAAGGGTTACGAGCGTCGAAACGGGTGGCTCGAGGGTACTCGAAGCCACGGAAGGGGGCTGAAATATAGGATATCAACTCGGGGCAAGGAAGAGCAATCGGTGGTCGCGAGCTCGTGGATCGACTCGTCGCGATTCGTTAATTATAAACGTCGAAGCGGGCCTAGAGTCCGTGTAGCCATCGGTGATAGGGTGAACACGGGGTCGGGAAAGGGGAGGACGGCGGGCAGAGGCAGAGGAGCAAAAAAGACGGTCGATCGTTAGCAAGGTACAAATTTCGCCATTTGCCGCAATAAACCTTCGAACCCGCTTGTAACTTCTTCTTATGGGAGGCATGAGTAATCGCCTTGTTAGCCCTTATGGCCTATAGCGCTCATACGCTCGCTCCCTTGTCCATAGGAGGGACAACAACAACAACAACGGCAACAACCGCCGACATGCACGCACCGTGATCGCGAAAAAAACGAGCTGGAAACGAAGAAGGGTGGGAGGCGAGTGGGGTGGGGAGGATGAGGAAAACGATAGGGGTACGAAACGCGAAACACACGCGATATATATACCCCATCGACACCGGGCTCTGTGTAACGAGCGAACCAAAGGACCCGCCGATCCCCAGGTAGAACAGAAATCGAGAAGGAGCGAACCGGTGACCGAGGGTACACAAGACGAAAGAGAGAGGAGGAGGGAACGTCCGAGGCATTTGCGTTGTAACCGAGAAAGGAACAAAAAACGAACGCGTCGAGACCGAGGTGAACCCGTGGAGGCGACGCGGGTGGAAACCGGAGGGGGATCCCCTTTTGTATTTTCGCGTTTCTTTCCTCTCCGCCGCGCGGAAATTTAATTACCTCGCGCCCAGGCTGCCTGGCCGTCCCTACCACTTAATTAGTAGCCTATAAATTAGAATATCGCGGGGAGGGTACGCTGTGCGGAGCTGGATCCGAGAATGGGATGATTTCTGGACTCGTGCTACTTGGTTCGGACTTGCTACCTTTCTGCTTACTATGGTCCGAGCAATCGGGATATAGGGTGTAGGTCAAAGGGTTAGGTCTGGACTGGGTCTACTATGTCACCTATAGGATGGTAACCTAGCCTAAACTAGCACGAAGGTACAACGTTGCTATTCCCAATCCACAATTCGATCTTTGGGGTTCCACGGATTGCTTCGGCCAGAATACCGTCATCCCCGTGGAGGTCGAGGTATTCCCTTTTCCTAGGGGACCGATTCTCGCGGGACCTCCAGCACGGAGCACGGGAATACGACACACACCCATACGCACACACCCATACGCACACTCGTGGCACCAAGTCGCGTGGCCCCATATCTTAAGAAGAAGCCAGGGGGGGTCCAGCGAAGGACAGCGAATGGGGACTAACACTGTTTTATCGTGTAGCCAATTAATAACGTTTCCCTGGGACCCCTGTCCCCCCTCCTGGCTCCACCTTCGCCGCGAAGAAGAGATCTCGCCTCGGAGATATCCGAGGATTCTCCTGGACCGTCGGAAGGCCTTGGCAAACCCGTACCTGTTCGATCCTGCACCCTGCTCGATATCGCGACGATGGGACCACCCTCGACATGGAACCCTCTGATCCACTTTACGCGATACACATTTTTTACACGCGAATTAGAATTAGGTTTATTCTGTGATCTATCGACATTTTTGGGTGGGTTGGTTCGGAGGTGCTCCCAAATACGATTCCTGGCGCTGTGTAAAAATCAAACGTTTTAACATGATTTTGCTTATGTTGTTGCAGCTTACAGATTTCTCTTGTATCGTCCTGCTGCATACGATCGTTCCAGGGTCCCGTCGCAGCCAGGCATCGTGTCAATGTGGAAATTGCATACATTACATAGAAGTACGGTATAAGTTGTGTTAAATCAATGTTAATCGCTGTAGCGAAGTGGGGTATTAACAATAAATACATTATTTTATGTAAAGTGCGTTCTCGTGTTCGTTTCCTTCCACGCAGGCACGCGTCCTCCACTTCGGCGTCCGTATTCTTCGATAGAAATCGAACTAGTCTCGCGATCACAGTCCAAAGGGGGCTACATTCAGAGTTTAGGACGCGAGCTTTCCTTCTCCGAGCAAAGAAGCTCTGCCCTCCTTTTTTCCAGGGTCGTTCGACGTGCAACTAGGGAAAGAGTGGCTCGTAAAGAGAGGCTGCAACGGCCAGCATCTGCGATGCGCAATTAACGAAAGGGTTTCATCGGCCCCCAGCCGCCCTATCTCGCCTCTTACGCGACAGCACAGAGCACAGCCGCGCCGCTGCTCGTTGACAAGTCGTTTGATTTATAACGAGCTTTTATTTTTTAATCCCCGCGCTCAACCGTCACGCGGCGTTCCGTTTGGTGAATTTATCGCCAGAAGTCGTTTCTTCGGCCACTGAAACTTGCTCGACAACGAACGACGTCATCGTGGACGAAGAAGGCGCACTTCACGGCTCATTGTCAACTCAGGAATTAATTTGAAAGCGATGATTTTTGTACAATTTACCGTAAAAAGGTCCAGTAAAATAAAAAATTTAATCTGAAATTATTATTATAAAATTATCGGAGGGTACAGAGAGCATCGCGAAAGTTAGCAGCGCGACACGGATCGCGTTCAGCTCAAGATTTGAGACTCGATGGTACTTAACCCTCGGGATGGGTTACGAAATGACTTTATGGCAGATCAGAGGCTCGCTTTAGATTGCATAGGGGGTCCCGAGTTAGGCTTGGGGTACGAGTCGGTAGCGACGTGTCCAAGGATCGTTTCCAACGTACGACAACGAGGAGCTCGACCCTCGAGGATTCCGCCAATGGAATCCTGATTACGTGAACGTCATCGGTAATCCATCGTTGCGCATTTTGAATTTTAGGGGCGGTGAAAGGTTTTAAAGAAGATGCTTGCTAATTCAGCCCTGTCTTTGCAACGATAAATATTTATAATTGGCGAACGTATTTACAACACGACCACGCCTTAAATTATGCGAAGTAGTCGAAATTCGACAACTACCCCTACCAAGTTCGAGCTACACCTCTCTTTCTTTAGGACTCTGGGGGTATTTCGACTAGGAATGAAAATAATCGATGGAAGATGAGGGCAGAATGTCGAAAGTGCAAACTCAGTGGGTTCCAGAGGTGGACGTTAAAGGAGCGTGTCTGGGTAGTCGACGGGGTTCTTTCGGCCGTTCCACGAGGCAATTTCGCGCGAGGATCTGTGGACGCGCGCGCGCGCCAGACGGCAGCCCGGGTTTGAGCACCTCTTTGTAATTTTACGTTGCCGTGGGGTGGCTAAAGCTGACGCAGTGGGGTAGGTGGTCGTGGTATGCCCAGTAGCCAATTCCCGGCTCTGGCCTCGACTCGCCGGGTCCATTCATCGCCGAGCACTACGTGACCGGTTTACCAATCCAGCTCTTCCTACACCAACACCGACGCCCCTATCCTGTCTCTCTTTACCTTTCGCCCCGGCATTGCGGGCCCTATACCTTCCCGTGTACGTGTATCTCTGCCAAACAACCCCCGGAGTCGTATCGACCCGCCACCGACTCTCCACCCCTCTCGATACCGAAATTCTCTCGTCAACGATTTTCCAAAGGTTCGATTCGAACGATTCAGCTGGAAGGCCGTCGAGTCCTTCAGCGAAGGACTCGTTCGGCCAAGTTCCGAACATTTCGGACAGGCACGCGTAGGTATAGCTGGACCGGTTGGAAAGCATCCTCGAGAGTTGTCATGCCTCTCTACTCCATCTCGCTACGGTCCAGACCACTCCCTCCGAAGATGATTTCCAACTCTGCAAACTATACCTTCGACGGTTCCTCTTCGAAACGCATCGAAAGGGTCGGCGCGGCGACCATTTCCGGCCACGACGAGGAGCAATCCGCCCACGTGGACCGGGTCGAAATGTTTCTGTGGACCGGGCGTCCCCTCGCAGGAGGAACGTCGCGCGTCAGAGAGGAAGGAGGGCCCAGACTCGATCAGGCTGAGTTTCCGCGCGATGATGACATGTTAATGTATGGATGCGTAGTACATAAGAGCGTGTCTGGAAGGAAGAAGGAGGGGGTGGCAGCGGAGGGTACAGTGGTGGCAAGCACGAGCCAAAGGAGGGCCCCTTTCCTGCTGGATGGCTCGCTTTCGGTTCAAAACGAACGGGTCCTCGGTCCCGACGTCCCGAGTCATTGTCGCCCTGCCTTCTTCATCTGCATACAATGCAGGAGACATCCGCGGCTTGAACCGTCCGCCCCTCTGACCCCCTTCGTCTCAGCCGCCTTGCGGGCCGACGTATCATCGGGATATCGTCAATACGGCCGCCCATTGAAATTACCGAACCTGGGGGAGCCCTGGCGAGAGGCGAGCGGAAGGAACGCGCGCAGCACGTGTCGAGGCCCTGCGGTTTGGCTTTCGAATTCTTTCGCGTCGAGGTTCTTGCGAGTCGTCTCACTGCCCGTTGCTGCCTATCGTCCCGATCCACGGTTAAGAGACGACGATTCGTTTTAGCTTCGTCCTTCCTCGCGAAGGACGCAAAAAGACGACCGTCGCCGTGGAACGACACCGTTCGAGGAAAGCGGAGGCTGAGGACAGATTTCGTCCCTTGGATTCGGTGAAGTTCGGACCTCCACTGGACGTGGAAGCTTTGAACGATCGGTCTTTCGTTTGTCAGGAAGATAGTATTATTGCATAGTATTCAGAAACCACGGTTGAAATACATAATATCGTCGCTGCACCAACTGTTTAGGAGTTTCCTGCGCGGATCCGAACAAAGGAGGCACGATCGATTAAGAGAAGGAGGTCGAGCTCGTAACTGTTAGTCGCGCTGCTCCCTTTCGAGCGGAATTGCGGCAACAGTTGCGGTTTATGAAATTAAATCGACCTCCTGACGCGTCCCATGGTGTTCTCCTGCCACGCGGGAGAGTATGGAGCTTACGAAGGTTTCGCGAAAAATGTGCTCATCCGACGACCGTTAGGTTTATCAGCTATCTTCCACTGGTTGGGTTCTTCCTGCCATCTCTGTCTAATCAACTGTCTCGCGATCTACGGTCGGTAGCATAAACACGAGGCCTAATCCGCGAGCTGAGAGGGTGCTCCGCCGCTGTCATAACAGCTTTAGCGCTTTGCTCGAAATTAAGCAGCGCGCGGCAGTTTTTCAAGCACGCGTCCAGAGGGGGGAGTCCCCGTTGCCATAGTCTGCGGGGAGTGGCAGAAGGGAAACGATTTATTCTCGGGGGCGAGCGTGGAACGACGCTCGACCACTCTCTATAATATCCAGCACGAGGCCAGCCACCTTTATCTTTACTATTAACCCCCGCGAACTAATTAAATTAAATGATCCATGGTCCCTCGATCATCCGGCTCGTAAGTGCCTATTTATTCCGACACCCTACGATTCGAAGCAAGTCTGCTGTTGTCTACGCTCGCGCGACGTCCCGTCGAATTCCTCGAGTCTCCGTCGAGTGAATCGACGATAAGTATGATCGGAGAACGGTACAATCATGCTCGATTGTTCTTTCCCAACTTAAAATTCTTTTCGTCACTTCGCCCCTAACAGGCTATACGTTTGTTTAAACTCGGTACGACGTTCGCATACCTTATTCGCTCTTCGAGGATCCGATACCGAAATATCTATCGATGAATCCTTCCGTTCTTCGTCTTCTTGCGTCATTTCCGAGGTGTTTTGGAATAACGAAGCCTATCCGTTGGTAATTATCCGTCGTCCGAGGGTCTCCGAGACCAGAGAAGGGAATCGTTTTCCGAAAGAAGGGTTTCGCAGCAGCTGGGTCGAGATTGTTCGCGGATATATGTATACGTCTGAGGTATTCGAAGGTACGGGGGCCCCTTTTCAGGGCCGATCTAGCCGCCTCGAGTGGCAGTAGCGAGAAAGACCTAGGGGGGTGGCATCGAGGGCCCCGCGAACCTCGCTCGCACGTGTTAGATAGAGGGTCGAGGAGCTCCCGAGGGAGCCACGTACCATTTTGCATAAATCGCGAGACACCCCGTCGCAGCGGAACCTCGGGGAGATTCTGGAATAGCTCGAATCTACTAGAGGGACGGAAGTGCCGGAGCTCCGTCGAATCCATTCGATATATCTCACCCCCTTTTCCGTGAAACACGCGGCATTATTCGGAATTTTCTTCCATGATCTCGAGATATTTGAGAATCGTCTTCGCCAACGTCGAAACGGTAGAGAATGGCAACTTCGAGTTCAAATTTTTTAAATTATGAGTTAAGGAGCTTGGCATATTTAGATGATTCTAAAAGTTTTGATCCATCGTTTGATGTTTGTTGGCTATAAGTGTCGAATCGTCGAGGGGGGAGGAGGCGGAGAGGGGGGATTTTTCAGTGTTCGAGGACGGCGAGAACCAGCGGAGGTCGAGAAAGTTTTGGACAGAGGCTCGAACGCCTCTCGGGGACCAGCCGCGAAAACGGGAACATTAACTACACCCAGAGCTGTCGTTTCGTTTCATTTCAGGCCGTAGACGTGATCCATCCCCCTCGTCGCGCACGTGGGGGGCCTTACATCCCCCGTGCGGCAGTCCGCTGCCAAGTTACCGCTCTGGCTATAAAACGATACTGCTCCGTTACCGCGAGAGAAAGCATATTGCGGTTATTGTTGAATTACATCGACCCGCGAGCGAGGGTGGTTCTCGGGGCTGTCGACCGTTTCAGTGTTACTCGTCATGGCGACGTGTCCACTCTACAGTTTTACTCGCCATGGTCGCTATCGGGAGCAAATACGTCCTCTGCTGTTCACGCTCCTACCATACGTTGGTTTGACGATGGTCGTGACGTTTTAACCCCTTGCATAGTGTGGTATCTTCGTCTCCCATACCCGAAAAACAATAAACAGTCAAAACAAAAAATCATCATCGAATGATCCGAT